AGCAGTAGCAGTAGCAGTAGCAGTAGCAGTAGCAGTAGCAGTAGCAGTAGCAGTAGCAGTGGTGTCGCGTGGCAATCAGCAACATATTTTCTTCAAGCCAACGTGAGCTGCTCCACAGGTCACCGACTTCAGCTCGGAGGCTGTGATGAAGTGTTGGGGTGAGTCGAAGCATGGGGGAGAGCTTCTGCGTTAGACAACTTTTTTGTCGTTATTTCGAGGTTCGTTCCTTTTGGTCGATTGCGCCTTTGAGCCTTTGATAGCCTCAGCTTGCCCCTATTGGGGCCATGGTTGAAACAGATGGAATGGGACGGCACAAAGATCTCAGCATTTTCTTTGATTCGACCAAATGTTGAATGCTTGTTGTGGCAGAATTCGGGATGATTGCCTCTGTGGTTTATATATATATATATATGTGTGTGTGTGAGATGTATTCTAAATTCTACACAGTTGTAATCTAATCAGTTATATATATAGTATATAGATACTAAAATTCAAATTCATGTCATTCTGTGATATGTCAAGTGGACAGAGTCATAGGAAGGCTCTGGGCTGCTGGAGCTCTTTTTTTTGTCTTTTTTGTCGCATGACCAAATTGCAGGACAGCTCCGAGCCACAAATGAAACTTATCTGCGACAATCAGCTGCCGCCAGGCGGGAAAGGATTTGGATTGTGCACAGTGCACGCGTGCTTGGCGATTTGTCACGTAGCAGCTCTACCTGACCTCATTCCACACTGCCCACGTGGAAGAATCAGGAGGCCCTCCAACCACTGGTTTTGGTATGTTTGGTTGTCCTTTTTCACGAGGGTCTGCCTACTTCAGCCAGGGGCCACGCCCGCCTTCAAGGCCGCTGATTTCTTGCGCACTTCTTAGGGTTTCGTCGTCAAAAGCGCCCGGGGAGGTGACACTATCAAAAGATGTTTTCTTCTGGAAACCTCAATAAGATTAGAGTGTCGGAGAACGTATATTCTTCTAGGAGCAAGAAGCTACTAGGGGCTCCTGGCATCGCTACTAGGAACAAGGGCGCTACTATGGGCTCCTGGCCTTACTACTAGTAACAAGAAGCTATTAAAAACAAGAATTGTATAAAATGAATTATCCAGTTTTGGCTTTTGGACGGCGGCTCAGACTCTCATGGACAAGCTCAATGGTGCAGTGAAATCGCATGGCAAGACGGAGGTTGCGCGCATTCTGGCGGAGGAGACCTGCCAAGCTCAATTTGATGAACGTGAGAACCCCACTGTAGCTCAAGTCTTTCGAGGTGGACTGTGAGACTGCCCTAAACCTGTTTGCTGAATCCTGATGATATTTGATGCATTTGTATCCTTGTTTCTCGTCGAGACTTTGTATCTAGAATCTAGAAGATGTTTTTCTTCCCCAAAAGGATTTTGTCACCGAGCTGAAGAAGCAGATGTGACGGATGTGGAGCAGTCACTGCACAGAGCTGCGTGTAGCTGCACGCGTAGCTGCGCGTAGCTGCGCGTAGCTGCGCGTGGCTGCACGCTGGAGCATCAAAACCAGCTTGTGGCATGCCACAAGAGTGAGGCTAGCGACATTTGGCTGAGGAGTTGGCCGAGGAGTGCAGCCCGCGTCGCAAGAGCCCGCAACTGCTAGCCAAAAGATATATCATATGTGCGCTCACGATGCCCCGCTTGGCAACTTGGGATGACCGTCCATCAATAAGAGGTCCAAGACCCTGCTAAAAGCCCAAAATTGGATGCGTGTCCTTCGAATTTTATGTTTTGGTCGAAGAATGATGGAAAAGGGAATTGTTATTGGGGAAGAGCAACTTTGGATATTTTTAATGCATATCTACCAGGTGTGGCCACTGTAATTCGGTTGTCTCCTTAGGGTCAGACATTGATTGCTTCTTTATTTTTGGGGGGTAGTGTGTAAAGCCTCTCACCTGGCCCTCCCACTGAGGCCGTGAACGCTTCCCAGGTGGGGGTCCTTGGGGCAATGGGTTGGAAGAGAAATCGCAGGTGAGCTGGCAAGAACAAAGAACATAAACAGATACGTTTATGTTTTTGAGGAGGGGCATGAAACGTGAAACGAAACTTTTCAAGAGATCGAAGCAGATCGCAGGGTTTGCATATGTTCGACCGTTTCTCCACAAGTTGAAGATCCTTCACGCAATCCGACCGCAGCTGAAAGAGAGCTCTCACGGGTTGGCTCGCGGTCGGCTCGCGGTCGCTCGCCGGCGGTCGGCTCGCTGCGAGAGCTCCCAGAGGTCCAATCGTTGCTGAGGATCCGAACTTCATGAAGGAGGTCAAGAACGCGACCAACAACCCCCAGGTGGACAGGGAAAACGCCCCAATTCATTTGGGCAGGCTGAAGAAAGAGAACCCCGGTGTTGACGAGCTTTTGGTACACCGAGACTCCCTGATCAGGATGGCGCACCCTTTTATGGCCTTCTCTCCCTTGGGTCAGGTGCACATCTCCAGGTGTCAACGGTGAATTTGGGGGGATGAAAGGAGGGCCGGCTAACCACAGCCATCTGGCGGATGGATACGGCCAATGAAAGGGATTGCCCGAGGAAGGCAGAGTTTTTGCCCAAGTCTCGGTGATCGGGCCTACTTGCTACTAGTAGCTTCTAGCTATATACTAGTCGTAAGGCCAGGAGCTACTATAGTGGCTTCTTGCTCCTAGTAGCCATGCCCTTTGTTCTCTAGTAGCTTCTTGTTCCTGGTGGTAATGCGAGGAGCTCTTGGTAGCTTCTAGCTAGTAGCTTTTAGTGATGCCCTTTGCTACTATTGCGAGTTGTTCCGAGATGCCAGGAACTGAGTTCCTGGCTCAGAAGGAGGAGCACTGCAGCCAGCAGGCGAGTGCCGGCTCTCGTCGGACCTGGAGTGAATCGGCCCATGAGACCAGGTTTAAGCACGCTACGAACGGAGCGATCGGACGCTACGAACCTAGCTCCTGGCCTTACCTACTAGGAACAAGAACGGCCTTTTAAGCGAAGGAGGGTGGTTTTGGTGGTGGTCGATCCGGGTGAGGCGTGCCTACTCGAGCTCGCGGCTTCAGTCCTTGAAGGCTCGACACCAGTGGGGATCGATGGGCCATCACCCGGGCACTGACGCATCTCTCTTTATGCCACTCGCGCTATGCACCCGAGACAACAGGTTGCACACCACCTTGGAAGCCTCCTGTACTGAGAGGAAGGGCTCCCAATGAGAGTTACAGGTTGGAGCTGGCGGAGGTTACATAGGGTCCCATGATATTTTGAGACGTTCCCATCATCTAAGAACGAGCCTCCCAACGGTGAGAACCATCTGGTTGCCGCGTCTCTGCATGGCCCATGGTCCAGGATTTTGAGATTGCGCGGGGCCCAGACATTTTGGGTCGGTGGGGAGGTCTCCCACTCCCATAGCTGTGGAAGATCTGTAACACCATTTCTCGGACCTGCAACCTTGCTGGCTCTGGGCCAGGATGTTTGGCCAGACGCGTTTTGCAAACCATGTGATCCTCACCAGCTCGAGAACTCCAAAGTGGAGGGCAACATTCAGTGTTACAGTAACCAACTTGGAAATCCCTTGGATGAACTGGTAGGTGACCACTAGTCTTGTGGTGGCGCAGATGCGGTGGGTAGGATCACCCACAGACTTTCCTCGCTCCACTTGCCCAGGCCGGCGCGCTGGGGGAGGGCAGCTTTGGGCAAGTGCTGCTGGTCAGAGACAAGGCTCTGAGCCAATTTCGAAGCTGTCAGGAGGAGAGGACAGTCACTGCACCGCAGATGTGTCGAATTCTTCTTATGCATCCTACACGTGCTCCCTTATTGCTGATGTTTGTTGTGTGACCATTGCAGTGCTTTTAAGGCCTCGTTTTTGCCTGGACCACATGCTGCTCAAGACAGGTTCATTTCAACGGCACCGCCCGGGGGGGGAAGCCATGGATCACCCATGAGCAGTGAGATCGCACCGATCCGGGAGGATGAGGCCGAGGATTGTGGTCTTCCAAGCACGCCCGAGCACAAAGGCGCTCGCTTGGGCTCGGTCTGGCGCTCCCCAGGTGTGGCGCTGACGCCCATCGGGTCGCCGGCTCCCTTGCGGCCGGAGGAAAAGCTTTGGCATGAGGAGCGGCCACACGCCAGCAGCTTTAGCTTTGGAGACCCCTTCCGCACCCAGGAGCGGCCGAACTCCGCGCCGGACCGGGTGCTGGTGCCGGCCTCCCCTGGAGGGGTCTTCAGTGATCTCAGCTCCGAGGCGGAGGCGCTGAGGCTATGCTTGTCAGCGAAGCCGCATCCTCCTTCACCTGAGCAGGCGACGTTTCACCCGCAGCCGCGGAGGCACCAGCCATGGGTGATGCCATTGCTGGAATCCGAGGCCTCGCCAGAGGCTCTAGCACGTGAGGGCACGGCGATGACCAGCCTCCTTGGGGAGGGCTTGAAGCATCGGCCGAAGCCGTTGGCAGGTTCTGATGAGCATTCGAACGGCCAGACTCCCGCAGGCGCCATTTTGTGGTTGGCCTTGAGCTTGGGTGTTCCATTTTTTCTCGACGACCCCGTATCGAAATGTTCAATCAAGGACGGTTCTACACTAATCAGAGTGGTGCCTAATAGGTATTTTTGAAAATGAGCTGGACCCAGATGCAGGCACTTCCTGTGGAACACCAGCCTTGGATGCCTCCACCCCATCCCCTGAGCAGAACGGTCAGAGCAAAGATAATTTGGAGTCGCCCAAGCCGCACCATAGCGTCCAGAACACGCCCGAGCCGACCCATCAATATGGTTGTGGAGCTGCCATCAGCACGCCCTCACCTTGTGCCACTAGGGATAGTGCCATTTGGAAGTCCTTTTCCTTTAGTGGTCCACTTCTTGAGAAACAGTGATGGGTTCCAGACGGGTGGAGACTCGTCAGACTAAGGCCATGTCCTCCCTGAATCAGCACATGCTGGGATTGCCACCACGCTTCAATGAGGGGATGCCGCTCCTGGAGGCCTTGGAGGGAGGGCCACTTCTGCCTCCTCCATTGCCTGCACCAGGTGGGCATCAAGTTTGAAACACTTTTGGTAATTTTTCTATGCCCTTTGTTGCTTGTAGCGGTGCCCTTTGCTACTAGTAGCTTCTTGTTGTGAAAGTTGACGTTCGGTGGTTGTCGACGGCTAGTTCGGTTGTTTCTGCAGCTTGATCAAGCGCACTTGCTGCAAAAAGCCGCGCTTTTCGCTTTTCGCATTTTGAGCCCAATTCATCTCCGCATTGGTAGCGGAGCCTACCGAATACCGGTGGGCAGGTGCTGTGCCGCACCTAGGGTCAGGGATGGCAACTACGGCCGACACCTAATGGTCAGCTGTGGCCGGATGGTCGAGTCAGGTACCTGGCTGGTACCAATCACCTCAAACGGGCATTTGGATGTTCTGGACCGGAGCTCAATGGCTGTCCTATGAGCCATCATCCATGGACGGATCATGGCACCTTCCTCGACGAGAAGCTGAACAGGCAAAAGGTCGGGAGAAAGGCCCTCCTCACTCGACTGCATCTACTTTGGAGCACCCGTCACAACACCGTTCAGTAGGAGTTCCACTCCCAGAAGGACATGGACTTCGTGCCAAGGCAGCCCCAAAGGAAGCAGCGAGGAAGGAGAAGAAAGAGAAGAAGGAAACCAAAGACAAGAAGGATGGCAGGGACAAGTCAGACCGCAGCGCCAAGGACAAGAAGAAGGATCGCTCAGACAAGGAGCGAGTGAAGGAGCAGTCGAAGGAGCAGAGGACGAAGACACCACCTCCACCTGCAGCTGCTGAGAAGGGGGAGAAGGGTGACAAGAAGGAAAAGAAGGATAAGAAGGAGAAGAAGGAACGCCAAGATGAAGACCCTCGTCCATCTGGCCGTGATGACTCACAGACTCCTTCGAAGAAGTCCAAGGCAGCGCCTCCGAACCCTGATCCGCCTGGAGAAGATGATGATGAGGAGGAGTACTCCGAGTACACCTACGAGGAGCAGGAGGAGAGTGAAGACTCAGAAGGATTTGAAGAAGATCCGCCAGTGACGCCGTCCAATCTCACTGATGACAGCCGTGGCCCGAGGCAGTATCAGAGGAACCCTCGTGATCCACGTCTACGACCACCACCAGGTCCGCCGTCATCGGATCCGACTTCGTCCAATGTGACATCAACTCCGGCTGCTTCGAATCGCACATCATCCAGAGCATCAGGTTCGAGCGCATCTACAGCTTCCACAGGTGAGATCCGTGCACTTCTGGGCCAACAGGCGAAGAAGCAGCAGGACCGATCAAAGGTCCGCCTGGAAATGTTCAGGGGTTCGAGATCCCACTTCAAAGAGTGGAAGCGCACCATTGAGGCCCAGCAGGCGCTGTACAGGTTGGATGAGGCCGAATTGGCCATGTTAATCTACCTTTCATGCCAGGGAGAGCCGCGTCAAATCCTGAACCAACTTCAAGTCTCCGAGATGAGGGAGCCAGGACTGGGCCAGGAGGACTCAATAGAGTCATGCGGCTGCTTGAGGAGTCATATGGTGCCAGATCTGATGAACACTTCGAAGAGCGCCAGGAAGCTTGCTTGACGTATCGCCGTGCCCCAGGTCAGAGCGTCACTTCCTACATCAGCACCTTGAAGAGACTTCGAACAGAGTACCTGGCAGAAGACACAGGCACCACGCCACGCTGTCGGACAAGAGTTTTGCCCAGAGAATGCTATCCCGTGCTTCCCTCACCAAGAAGGAGCGGATGG